ATAAAACCTTTTCCAATAATGTAAAAAGTTTTCATTAAGACTAATAAAGATAAGAGCATGGTCTCACCTTAAACATTTAAAAAAAAAAAAAAATAAATCAATTAATAAATTTTGTATAACTAATAAATAAAATCATGTGACTATAATATGGTGTTTAGCACCAGTGGTGTAATTTAACAATGCTAAAATTTTTTCTTTACTTAAAAAAAATTATTTAAAAGCTCAAAGATTTCTTTATTTGATAAAATTTTACAAATTTATTATTACTATTATTATTAATTAAATTTTGATTTTTAAAATTACTTTATTTTTAAACTTAAATTTTATAATTTTGAGTATGCTAATTATATTATTTTTTTATTGCAAATATATTTACAATATTTCTAAAGTATTATATTATAAGTTTTATTATTTAATTGTTTATAAAAGAAAAATATATATATATTTTTAAAAAATTAATTATATTTTAAAATTTTAGTAATATTATTAACTTTATTATATAATTAATCTATATTTTTTAAATAATTTTATATTATATAAATTAGTTAAATTAATAATAAATTTTAATAATAAATTTTAATAATTATTTTAAATAGCATTTAACAAAATATTAAATAACTTATTAACTAATAATCCCAAATTAACAATTTTAATACTATTTGAACTATCTTACTAAGATAAATTGAATAGTACCAAAATCATTATATTCTAATTTCTAGTTTTTTATTAGGTGAAGTCCACCCATATAGTACTACAAATAATAAAATTTGTTATTAAATTTAATAATAAATAAATTTTAAATATATATTACTAAAATTATATCTAAAGTAAGATTATCTAATTTATGAAAAATATTTTCACATTTGACTATAACTTTTGAATATTCTTAATCCAATAATCGGCCAGATAATATTTCACTTGATGGTAGCTTATAATTTAGATATAAATTCTGAAGAAAATTGATAAAAAATGGATTGTTTATAATAGAGAATAGAATGTCACATACTACAAAAGCCTTTAATAATGAGCTATTTATAGAATTTTATATCCCTCTGGTAAACTATCTAATTTTTGTGAAAATAATTTGAAATACTAGACTGTTTATTGCTTTGTTTTTTAGTATTAGCTAATAAATTTTCAGATTGTGTTTTTTCTGTAACACCATTATGATAAGCTACACAAAGTAAATATATTTGCCAAACTTGATCTTCTACTTTGAATACTCTAGCACAAGATGTGCTTCAAGTCTTGCTAGTTTACCTCTTCTCCACTCAGTTAAACAAAATTTGCATTTAGCTGAAAAATGGCCAGCTAAATTAGTTCACTTTCGATAAAAAAACTTCTATATAGGTGCTGGTTGATAACCTCCAAAGCTTGTTTCATTTGATGTATTTAATTCAGATATAGAGTTTTTATTTAACATATTTGGTTCAGAAGTATTTGTAGGTAAAGTTGAAGAGCTTGGTAATTTTTGTTTTTTTTGAAGTAAGTGATAAAGACTTGACTACTTTAGACTTTCATTTACTACTTTTCATCATGTATCAATATTTTTTTTAAAAAAAAAAACAATTGTGTATAAACAAATATTTATACAATTTTTTTATTTATTGTACAACGTATTAGATTTTTTATTATTATGTAATTGTTTTAATACTAGTATTTAAAATTTATAGCATAGAAGCTTAGTTAATCGGTATATTTCTGTATTTGTACAACTTAGAAATTTCTTACTTTCTGTAATACATTTTTTAAGATTTAAGGACTTTTCTCAGTAGATACAGCTTTCTATTTTAAATTCAATTATCATTTCTCGATTTCTATATTGCATTGTTACGATCTAAAATTAACCAGGCCATTTTAAATAATATAACTTGCAGTAATATGAAGCATAATAATTTATCCTTTATACTTATGTCAACACTACTGTTATTCCTGTTTGCTTCTTCTGTAACAAGTCAATTTAGTCCAGATCCTCGACAATACCAGGATAGTGTCTTAATTGGAAATCGTTTATTTATCTTCGGAGGCTATACGGGGAAGCCTCAATATACTAATGAAACAATCTATCTGGATTTGTCCAAATCATTCGACACTTCTCATCCTCCCTGGAGTAAGGACGTAAAGGGTACTGCACCAATTAGCGCAGAATTTGGTACTGCGTGTTTAAGCCCTATTGACAATTCTACTGTCTACATAATTGGAGGAGTAGCCTACAATGAAATATCGTTAGAATTTGTCAAACCATCATTAGTATACACTTTTAATTCTATTGAATCAAAATGGTCAGTCCTGAATGCCTCTGGGCTTACAACATTCGATAGTAATACGACCAACGTATATAACGATATGCAAGCAGTTATGCGACATAATTTAGTGTTTTTGTTCAGCGGAACAAATACATTGAAACCATCCGAAAGTAATCTGAGCACTGTTAGTACGCTCGTTACAACTTTGAACGTTCTCAATACGAGGACAATGACTTGGTTATCTTTTAATTTTTCTAATGCGCCTACACCCCGTGAAGGGTATACAGCTACCCTCTTAAAAAATGGTTATATCGTTTATATCGGTGGCACGGAAAAACCTATTGGCGCTTTTAAGGAGACAAACGTCAATATGGACAATATCCCTGTATTTGACACGGACGAATTAACTTGGAACTCCATGGTAAATTTAAAATTAGATAGATTTAAATATATTGTGAATAGAAAACAAATTTAAATGGATTTGGAATTTCTTGATAAATTAAATTTTATAGCCCCTAAGAAATTTGTAATCCGCTTAAATTACATTCCATTCATAGTAGAATACAGTAAAAGTTTTTATTTATATTAATTATAACTTAATTAGGCAGTCTTGGGAGATACAGTCGCTCCACGTAATTCACATTCTGCAGTGTTAAGTAAATATTAAATCACAATAATACAATATTATATTTAAATATTAATTATTATTTTTATTTAATTTTTAATCATATTAAATTTATATCTTTTATAAGCTGATGATGGAAAAATTATAATATTTGGCGGAGAATCAGGTTATGGCTTTGTTCGGATATTACCTGATCTTGCAATATTGGATACAAATTCAATTCCATATCGATGGACAGTTCCGAAAAACATTTCCTTGAAGAATGCACCTCCATCTTTAGCTGGTCATTCTTCAACGTTATATAATAATTATATGCTCATAATATTTGGACGACAAACTTCAGATCAAACTGTAACTGATAATGAGGTGCCTTTGATCAACAATCAGATTTATATATTTGATGTCAAAAATTATATTTGGGTTTCGATTTTTTCCCCTACCTCGCCCTCACCTCTTACCTCCCCTGGTCAATGTACAGTCAATTGTATTATTGGAATTGTTGCAGCCATAATGTCTATTTTAATTATTTTATTGATTGGAATTGGATGGCATTATTATAAAAAACATTATCCCAGGTAAAATAACAAATTTCATATTTTAATTTAGAGGTTTCAAGTTATTATTATACGTGAATTTATGCAAATTTAACAAGTTAAATATTAAATTTCTCTTTATTTTTTTTGCATAATATAGAGGAATAATCGGAAAAAACGATTCTTTTATGTCTATGGAAATTCCAGATTAAAAATAACTTCGTTCGTGGAGATAGAATAATCTATAATCCAGCATAAGCGACGAACTCTAATGTAAAATCTATATTATAGGATTATTTTATGTCTCGATAATTTCTCAATTTGTTTTTTTTTTCTTTTTAAATAGTTATATATATGTAATTAATTTTGTTAAATCTTGTTTTTGAATAAAAAAATTTGTTAATTTGACAAATTTCATCTGCTATTAGTCTCGGAATTTCGTTTAAAAAATAATGTTAGAAAAATGTATTGTGAGGTCGGAAAAACGTGATCTAATAACCGCTGCGCCAACTCACAATACCCCGGTTATGAAGATCGCTAACCAAAAAAGGAGTTGCGGCGATATATTGGATATAATGAAGAAATTAGATATACTGTACCCTGGATAACTAATATAACGAAGATAAAAGATACAATCGATTTAATAGGGATACTAGTTTTATTAGTTATAAGAGAGATAACAGTTTTATCTGTTATAACCCATTTAATAGTTATAGGAGACATAATGGTTTTATTCGTTATAATCAATTTAATCAACTTAATAGATATAAGGGATATAATGATTATAAGAAGTACTAAGTAAAAGTTTATTATAAATAAAGGCGTTATCGCCCCAAGAAAAATTATGTCTCGTTTGCTTCACTAATAACCGAGTCTCAAATTTATCAAATACATTGCCCATAACATTGTATAAAAATACTATTGCGCGAATACACTTTTTGAACCCTAAAGTTATAATTTGTCATTCGTTAAGTCCTTGTTCACGTGATCTAGCGTTGCTGAGTCGCAGTTGTTCAGTCATCACAGCAGTATATTCGTCGTTGTTACACAGAAAATCTGGTATAATTGATTTTTATATGATACCATACATAGTTTTGTTGTCATAGTGTACTGCACACCCCAATGTGTCACTTGCTAAATTACGAATCACCTTCTATAATTTTTAACCTAGCAACCTCTCTACAAACGTTACATTCAAGATTATACATACTCATGTATGATCTCTTCTCAAATTCATCAGATAATTTCATAGTTCTCCATTTATGATATTCTAAATAAGCAGTCTCATTACTAATTAAATATTTTAAATAATCTGCGAGAGCTTTAGTGCTATTAAAATCTTCAATAAAAATAGCAGATTTAGGATGAGGTAAGTAAGAACGAGTATTAGGCGCACCCCATATAACAGGCACAACACCCAAATTAAATGTATCCCAAAGCATTTCAGTAGAATAATCTTTTTCATTAGTGTTTTCAATTTCTAAATAAAATGGATATTTAGAAATAATACAATTTTTTGAAGCAAAATATTCTAAACTATTGCATTCTGGATGAAAGTCCCAATCAGTGTTATGGCGAACACCACCGAAGGATGCAATGGGAATATAAGTCTCAATACTTGAAATAAAATCTTCCCTAAATTGTGTCCAATGAGAAGCAATAAATGAGACAAATGCAGAATTTTTGGAGAGCTTTGTTATATTAAAAGGAGATATTGAACGCCAATGTTTGGAGTCCATTCTAACATAGCTTGTAGGTAACATCAGAATCATCATCATAGGTTGCAAGGATATCAAATAGGTAATCTTGATTATGACAATCTGGACAATGAGTTTTAGGTTCTAAAGTATATAGTATGAATTTTTGCCCTTTCCATGCTTTTCTTTTAGTAAATTTGGTTGGTTAACACAAAGAAGAGCATCAGCATTTTTAAGTTCTTTTCGCATTAGGCTTCCTAAATCTTTTACTTTCAATATACATGGTACATCGCAATCTGATAATGTTTCGTCATGATTATATTTGAGTCTTGTATAGTCTTGACCTTCATACCAATCACCCCGAATTACATATATCCTCATTTTTCAGCCTTTATTTAAATAGCCTGTAATATAATGTTTTTGTTTCCATGAAGTGAAATTGGTAGGTCTTATCTTAAGTTTATTTATTAATTCTGTTGCATTATTAAACTCAATAGGTAACTCATTAGGAATTTTAACATCTTCGTAAGTCAAGATTCCCAAGATTCCCATTACTAGTAATAAGAAAGCGAGTGCGCATATTGTATAGAAAACTTATCCTCTGTTTTTCTCGAGTAACATTTCTATTACATACAATGTGGTGTTAAAACTGGCTTTTATGGTAATTAAAAATAAAACACGAATAATTTAAAAGCATGAAATTTATTCGATTTTGGTAACACAATAATAGAAACTAAAAGTTATGGAAGCGACAAGATAGTGTCACAGATAAATAAATGACTTGCGTCACTACTGATGATTTCGCTTAGACCGATACCAAGGGTAATAACAAGGCGAGTATTTCTTTATTCTATTCAGTCGATTAATTAAGAGAAAAGGCTACTACTTTTATTATTTTTCATTTGTTTATATGAGTGACGCCAGGGAAACTAGGGCATTGGGTTTATCATTTATTACACACGTATTTAAATAAATAATCATTTATGAACCAATGTCCCATTTTTCTTTGGTGTCACTCATATTCATATTTGACCATTTATTATCCTTTTTGACACTCAAATTCATACGAACAACATGGATTTAAATTTGTATAACAAAATACGTTCAAAGTTGTACAAAAAAACATTTTAATTCGAGTTGATTAAATCGGGTCATCTCATAATGTAGTGGTCTGATCTGGACGATTTTGGTACCATTAGAACCTTCTCACTGAGTCGATTTGAATGGTTTTAAAATCATCTAAATCCGATTACTGTAATCATGAAATATCGTGACTTAATCAACTAAAATTATAATGTTTGTTTGTAGAATTTTGAATGTCCTTTTGTATATTGTACGAAAGTTGCACGAATTCATGTACGTACATGCGTGCGATACATGCGCAATCATTTAAATTGAATTCTATATTAGCATGCAAAAGTGTTGAACCGTTATGCATGTATCGTTAGTTGCACCAATAAAAAACTATTGCTCATAGAAGACATTAGCCATTCATCTTATTGGTTGTATTTGCACAACCCGTATTACAGTCAGACCCCTAAATGCAACCTCTCTAAATGCATGATATAAGTCCAGGCCCATGGTGGGACTTATAGATAAATGGACGTTCTTTATTCTGTAAGCGCACTCTAATTGTCTGGTCCACTTATAAAAACTCCCTCCATAAATGCATCTACGTGATTACCGGCCAATCGAATTCGTTATTTCTAGGCTACTAAGGGTATATTTATCACATGATAGTAGTCATTTTGTGATATTATTGGTGTTCTCTAATTGCAACCCTCCCTAAATGCACGCTCTAGAACTGGTCCCGATGTCGTGCATTTAGGGAGGTTTGACAATATATTTTGGCTTGTTTTCTCCAATAAACTTACAAGACTAAACAAATAAGCAATATTAAATTTGTGAAATGCATCTTTCCTAAATTTGGTCATCTGTTTTTTTTATCGTTATTATCAAATATTTCTAGCCATTTTAAGCATAAAAAAGGCAAGATGCCTTATCACGAAATCGAAAGCATTGTATATACTCTTGCTCAGTGTTGTCACTGGAAGCCCACTGGAAATAAAATTAATAGTGTCACTGGAACGTTTACACCATTAGAAGGTCAAAACTTTCCCACTGGAAGGAAAATTAACTAAACAATCATTAATATAAAGTTCTAGCATTTTTTCTATAAATTATTGTATTATATGAAATTGATAAAAAATCAAGAATTTCACTAAAACTACACTATTATTAATATGTAATATACCAGTATAATACAATACAGTCAGACCCCTCTAAATGCACCCTCCCTAAATGCGGCACCCCTCTAAATACATGATATAAGCCCGGGCCCATGGTGGGACTTATAGATAAATGCACGTTCTTTATTCTGTAAGTGCACGCTAACTGTCTGGCCCACTTATAAAAACTCCCTCCATAAATGCATTCAAGTGATTGCTTGCTAATCAATTTCATTATCTCAAAGCTACTAAAGCCACATTATCACGTGTTAGCAGTAACATTGCGATTTTATTAGTGTAAATGCACGCTTTAGAGGTGGTCCCGGCGACGTGCATTTAGGGAGGTCTGACTGTATAATGCAACACAGCATACTTACTTATTTCTAGCTCCCTTTAAACAACTCAAATGTCTAGTTAATAAATGTGAAAAAAAAAACAAGAAAAATT